TTTGTAAGTATTAAAAATTTTCCAGTCTGTAATGAAAATAAAAGATAGATTTAGCCAAGCAACTGAATTATTTACCACGACCATTGTACTTTAAAAAATTTGCAGTTATCGCATTTAAGCGAATCTCTTAGGCCAAAAACATAGTGGAGCGGCGAGCAAAGAGCATAGAGCAAAGCGTCGATTTCAAACGCATATGTTTCAATGGGAGAGCGCATAGTGGAGAGCAAAACGTACATACACGGTTTGTAATTGAAGCTTTGATCGATGCTAGCTCTTCGCTTTGCTCGCCGCTCCACTATGTTCTGACCCTTAATTATCGTTCGAATTCATGGCCGACACGGCGTATGAGTGATTTTTTCATGTTGGTATGAGTGCGCATGTGAGATGGTGATCAACAGTGCTGCCGTTTGATAATTTTCGAGCGAAGTGAAAACACACTAAAAGTAGAGTGCTTCGGAGTGACTTGGGTGGAAAAGTGAAGTGATTATCGAAGTGATGACTTTCAAGCACAATTAGGGGTGTGGGGTTTTTCAACTAAGTTATTTATCAGCTGATTGATCAATCGATTATTTTTTATCACAATACAAGTAATCTTTAACGTTTATTAATTTATAACTTATTGTTGGGTCTGTGGAAATTCAGTGCTGGAATATCTTTAAAACTTAATTGTTATTTTCTTCAGATATTTACTAAATCATTACGAAACTTTACCCACCTAAATATTCATGTCTGTGCGCTTTACAACTACAAATGTGAAAATGAAATATAAAATGCCTTCATCCGAATAACCGATGCCAGATTGGAGTTTTAGTAGGCGTATTTTTAGGAGCTTTTTGCGAAAAGTTACGTTGTCTGAAACCGATGACTAAGACTAAGGTTGAGGGCAACAAAATGTATATAAATAATCAAAGTTTTTTAATTTTTTACAGCATCTAAAGAACGACACACATATCGACGCCTCCAAACCATACTTTGCCAAGTCTGACTAAGTCTAACTTATTTAGTAATGTTATGGTTTGGAGGTGTCGACTCCCAGAAAAAACCTTTCAAAAGCACTTATTTTTATACCAATGGAGTAACACAATACAAGTCGCCTCAAGACAATTTTCGCTTATCCACTGCATTGCATTCCATGATAAGCTTTCGCGCAGTAAAGTTATAAAATAAACCTTAGAAATGAGTTTCTCGCATCAATAAGTTTTCTAGCAGCTCATTTCCGCCAAAAGCTTAAGTGCAGTTAAGAGCTCAGCTAAATTCCAAAAATTTTTACCAGGGGTGATCGGAAAGGTTTATTTAATACTTTTTGCTTTTTGGCTTTCTTTTACTTGCACTGAATGTGAGGAACTACCCCCTTCGAGTTGTAATCTCTTTTTCTCCAATAGGCAAAAACTGTAGTTAATGCTTGATGGAAATGAACTACTGGAATGTTTTTAAAGCACTAATTCAACAATAATAACTCCGCGTTCTGAGATATCGTTCACAAGTTTTTTTCTCCATGGAATTTATCGTCGAATACTTTTTCATCTTTTTGTCACCGCTACAAAATTTTTTTGCTCGTCCAGAAGTCTTTAATCGTCTTTGTGCTAAAAATATATTTTTAGTGGTAAAACGAATTTGAAAGTGGACGTAAGTTTTTTGAAGTTTGCGCATTTTTAAATGAAAAAATTACCTTATCACGATATTAAAGTTCGTCGCCTTTTCTCATATTTTTTTTTTTATAAAATGTCGGTATTTTAGTTTTTTTATTTGTTTATATATCCATTAGATTTTCGCGAATGTGTACACATGTTCATACTTTCCGATTTTACCGTTTAATATTTTGTCCTACAACTTATGACACAAATTATGCGCTGTAATGTAACATAGCGTATTCGTTTTACAAAATATTTAGATGAAAACTTACGCGACATTATAAATGTGGTTATTAAAAATAACGCACATACTGAAAATGTATTGTTGGCTATATAACGATACGACGTGATATGAGAGAGGGGAGGATCATTAATATGACAAATACTAAGATTTCAGTCGGGGTTCGCGGTCGCATTGCAGGATTTTTTATTAACGTGGTATAATGTATATACCAACATAAATATATGTATGTATTTGTGTAGTAACGTCAAATTTTGTGTTTTCTCAAATGGAAATGATTTCCATGCCCTATGTAAATTCGCCACATTTCCAACCGCAAGAATTCACGCCTGCTCGAATTTCAATAGTTGATTCCATTTCAGTTACGTTTTTAGACTCTTAAACACCGCGAATACACAGATTTTTGAATGTGAACATAGTATGTATGTATGTATGTAAGCAAGTTTATCATGCATATTTGAATGTACATAGCTGTGTATAAATGTTTATGATTGTTTGCATACATTTATGTATGTCAGTGTCCACTCTCTCACCTGTATTATAGTACTGTTGTTTCCACTTTCCTTTACCCACATAACGTTGCCCTCTGCTGTGCAGGGTATGGATATATTTTTTCCTTTATCCGTCACGTAATCGTGATATTTTATGGATGACGTTAAAACCGTAAGCACTGTAATCGATAAAATGTAAAAGAAATAAAATTAATTAATTTATTCATATTCCTAAATTTTGTATAAGGAAATTCTTCCGGCTATTTGTTTTCAGTCAATAATAACATTAAAACTCTTGTTTCACTGCTAGTAACTAATTTCATGTAGAAGTAAATATGCCCTATGCGCCCAAGGCAAGAAAATATGTAGTACTCTTCCATTCGTTTTAGACATTCGCCCCAGTGCCTGCACCTGCAGAGTTAAAAGCAGCTTAAATTAGGAGGATATGAAGGGAAATGTTGCAATAAGCACAGCGACAGCCAGTGGCATCAAATGCTTTTATGGGTAAGCCAATTAGACGGGAAATGCACAAATTACGTACCTAAATATATACATATATGTACATTACATACATTCACTTGTACTCGCCCTTTTATTGACGAGTGGTTTGGCAAATTCTCAGAAAGTATGCGCGTCTAGTTTCATATTATTATAAGGCATTGAATATTTGTCACTGAAAGTAAATGTTCGCACGAATGCAGCTTGAGTTTGCAAAGCAAATTTTTGAGAAAAAGTGATACAAAAAATCGTAATAAAAATTTTTACCACACAATTTAAAAAAGCTTCTAAAAGTCATAACACTGTGAAAAGCTTGGGGTTACATCAGAGTTGTCACATAAGCAATCTGTTAAATGAGCATAGCAGAGCAAAGTATGCATAATTGAGCTATTAGCCTATTGAAACTTGCACTTTATTAGACTAGAATTTAATGAGAAGGACTTGTCTTCACTTGGCGTTTTCAATGGGCGTCAGTTGGCACAGAAGAGAAACGACTGGAGTGCTTTGCTGAAGTCGGCCAAATCGCTTAGGCGGTCTACTCTCAAAGTCTTGTAAGTCCTTTGTTGTAGGGTAAAAACCGGTTTTCCTATGGGAAAGCTTTGCAACCCGTGCACCTGGCAAGAGCTTTGCAAACCTTCAAGAATCCCACTATTGAGTTTTTGTGGATGCAACGCGGCCTCGTGAATTCTCTTCACTCCGAATGCGGCAATTTTGCTTATTAAGCCAAAAATGACTTTTAGTACTGAACAGAATATTTCAATAAAGCACTGGGGCTTCACATTAGTCTATTAATGACCAAACTGAGCACTACTGATAATAGCGTAGTCAGATCTGACCAATTTTAATGCAGTAAAATTATTCTAAGCTACAAATTTTAATAGCTGCGGTCAATATTAAAAACAAATAAAAAATGGTTGCCTTATATCCCACACGATCCTTCAAAGGTGACACAACTAAAAATTTGGCATTTTTGAAATTTTGCACTAAAAATGTATGTACACAGAGCTTGTATTTACCTTTTAGCAAAAGCTGGAGCAAATTTTGGTTATAATATGTTTAAAAAACTTAAGGTAAATTCTCCCTTGCCCATATGATTTAGCATGTGCTATGACATAGTATTTCGCATTTTCTGACGAACGTGTAATTTTGAAAATTTTTTTATTTGTTTTTATTAGACTTTTGAAAAAAAAAAAACGTACCTCTAAACATAACGCCACATCAAAGCCTTTATCAAGAAAATAACGGTATTGAATAAAAAATGCTTGCTTAGCACGCAACCTTCGACCTTTAGCAGTAGAAGTGGTAAACACTTAGCAAGGTCGAAAGACTAGCGCTTCAAAGCAAATACAAAGTTGCGAAAATGTATTCGATTTCGAATTGTATTTGTATTCACGCAGGGTTCAAGAACGTAAAGCAAATTTTATCGCAATTGTGTGAATTCTTGACTAAAGGCCAGAAGGCTGGCATGCAAAACCATTGTTGCTGGTATGTACAAACATACCCTATAGGCAAACCCCGAACTGGTGTATCAAATAGAAACTAGATCACCACCAGTTTAAAAGCAGCGAAATGTGTTAATTTAAAAAAACAATTTTATTTTTAGACATCTATGTCTAAAATGACGAATTTAGAACTTGTTTTAGCCTTTTAAAATTTTGGCACCTTCTGGAATCTAACCAATAACAGCAAGTACCTCTGCAAATTCAGCTACAGCCAATGGTATATAAACGTGTTTTAAAATCATTTTAATTAACATTAATTCAAAAAAATTTGATTTCAGATTGCAAACACATTTCTTTGCAAATAATTAAAAATCGCTACCATGGTAAAACCAAAAAGACTCTGTTTGAAATATTTGAAATGTTTGAAAACTTAATGTTCCTTTTTCGTCTGTCGATTTTCCAACTGGTTCGGAACTATAGAAAACGGGGTGCAAAGTGAACTTGATCCCATCTGTAGAATTTAGGACTGGTAATGCAGCGGGGGACAATTTCCAATTCCTATGACATCGCCGTGTTAAATTCGCCAGTTGTTTGTATGCAAAGGAGATTTATCGCGAACGAGTAGTGGGTCTAAATGCACTAGAAGCGCACCAGTTCAGAGCTAGAGATATTCCCTACAGGGTATGCATACCCAACAAACACTGGCACACAAATTTCCAAA